AGATATTTGTTTGTTCGGTTTATTTTTTAGCACCTGCACAGGAATGAAATGATGAGTTCACTTGTTTGGAGTTGGTATTCTGAATGTGTCCAATCTTATAGGAAATTGTGTTAGTAAGAACTCGGTATGCAACGAAAAAGGTATTATCGATACACATATGGCTGGCTGTAATGAGTGATATGAATGCATAGGAGAGTGTTGAAGTTTAGGGGGAAAAAAACCATTCATTCTTATGGATTACTGAAACCTTATTTATGTTTTTATGAAAGTCCGAAAGAATGTGTATACCCATGTATCATATTCATATTCGTACCAGTAAGTTCCATCAACACCTGTCTTTCATCAAGTCAAAAATAGCCGCAGTGATTAAATACGTTTGTAACGAGAAGCATGTTCTCGCTTCTTTTGGAGTGACGAGTCAGCGTATAGAAGACAAATTCTACATACTGGTTAAACATGTAGAAATGTGACACTTAGTGATTAAGGAGTACTTGTTCTTTTACAGGAAAAGATTTAAAACGAGATACCTACAAAGAAATTGTCAGGGAAGTTGCTTTCAAAAGCACATCCATTTGTATTGTTCAGAATTTCTTTACTTTTTGACAAAAGTAGTAAGTCAAATTAGCACACAATGCCGTAAAGCTTTAAAACGAAGTGCATGACGTGTCGACAATGCATTCACACTCAAAAACTTGTGGGAGTAAGTTTTTGAGAGGTTTCATTACAATGTAAAATGCCGTGTACCTTGCCAGTTAGTGTACAGGTCGGACCGTCGGAGATTTGAGGCCAGAGCTAAGTCGAATTAAGGAATCCCTTCAGCAGGTCTCTGGAGTGATAAACTTCCGGCAATCTGCAAAAGTTGTTAGTTGTTAATTAGCTATGTAATAGATTGGTATAATTCTAGACAAACAGGAAAATCTCTACCGACGTTATAGAAATGTTAAGAGAGTTCTTCTCCTGAAGTATAAATGGAATCCCCCTCTTCTGGGTCTTGACAAAAACATAAGACAAAGTGGAAAGAAAAAATAGAACCAGGAAGTAGGCTTTTTTTCTAACCCTGCATCACCATAAACAAAAGAAATCTGGTTCAAGATTACACGAGTTTTCCTCGATTTGCTCCCATTTCCATCATCATACATTAGTGAAGTTCAATCACAGGTCAGACTCCTGAAGTAAAAAGTATGTGCTTCGCTATTTAACATGAACCAAACTGTAACCAGCTACCACTTTTACTCCCCTTTCATTCATCAAACATCTAATCCCAGAGGCATCTTCCCACGAACCTCTGGCAGCATACGTATTTGATGCAAGTAAATAACCAGCCGAGCTCGACGGCTCCAATTCAAGAACGTGAGAAAAAGCATCCCCAACGAGTTTCCCAGCCTCATAGTTTTTACAACCACTCAAAAGTGCACCCCAAGCACTTGCACCAGGCTTCATGCCAACAGGGACAGACTTAATCACTCCCAGTGCATCATCAAGTTTCCCAGCTCTAGCCAAAAGATCAACCA